ACGGACACAAACGAGTTGTGCCTAGAGTCACCGCAAACTCTCAGAGTACAACGTTCAGTAGAGCTTGCTGGGGACGTAATTAAAGCACGCCGATTGGTAGGTCTCTGTTGATGCCGACTGGGAAAACCGTGCCGAAGCAACTAAGAGCGAGAATGGCATTACCCGGTCACATCTTGGCAACAAGTGGTATGCTCCTTTGCTTCTTTGCACCTTGAAGTATTAGACCTTTCTTTTTGTTACAAAACAACTTTGCTTTCGCTCTTAGCCTTGCTCATACTATGCTTTACTCCATCTAAAAAGGTTGTGCAGTGTCTGAGTTAAAAGGATTCACTTTTATCAATGTATACCTAGCTGTGCACAACCCAGGGCTAAGGGAAGATGCGGGTCAAAAAACTATAATTATTTTGCAAAAAATGGGATCTTGGGTTTTATGGTGTCTCATTATTTTTGAATATTTAATTTGATGTATAAAAATAATTAGTGCCGGTTATGATCGCGAATTTAGTCAAATACGCATCTGAAGAGATCCAGGCAACCCAGAAAGGCATGAATTTAAGCCATCTTTCTTGTGCGGTTCTTCAAGTTGCAACGTCAGCCTGCCATCACATTGACATTGACAAGTGGGCCTTGCCATCTCCTCTTCATTGCAGTCTTCCGTAACTTCAATTTCTTATGGAAGTTTATTAACAAAATATTATTTTCTGCACCGCGAAAGAGTATAGCTGCACACATCTGCGGTAACACTGAAACATGTTTTTCTCTTTTTGTGTAATTTTGAGGCATCTTCACAATTTGTGCACAAGAGTTTCTGATCTTAATTAGTCCTACTGTTGAGACCGGTTATAGTGAAGTCAACGGGAATCGGAAATCACTTCGCTATATCCACTATTTCGTTATAACTGACTTCGGCTATAACGAAGTGCAAAAGGAACTGGGAAATCGTGATCACTTCGCTGTAGCCGCTATTTTTTATAGCCGACTTCATTGCAACCGGTCTCAACAGTATCACAACCAAATTTGGCATGCATATACTTTAGAATATGTAGAATGAACTATATGGGTTTGGTTAGAAAGAATATATTTTTTATATTTATGAAAAATTTAAGAAACATTTGTTAGCCCCTTGAAATTGCATTTTTCCTATTTTTAATTATTCCAAAATGAAAGAAGCATCACACACATTATTTTTGTTGTTCAAAGCACTTAATGGTTTAAAAGGGGCAAATTAGTTTATTTTACTAAGCTTTCTTAAGAATGTTGCGGTGTCTCATGTGCACACAAGAACAGTTTTTTTTCTGCATGTACAGTGCATCAAAAACTTGAAAAAAAAAATATATATATATCAGATTTAACACCAAATTTATAAAGAGAAGCTTAAGCACCGTAAACTATAAAAATTCAATTTCAATATCATAATTAATGTAAACAAAATTTCCCCTGGAGCATGTCCCCCGCACACAATACAGCTTTTCTCGACGACAACACAATGCTCGACTTGCTAAGCGGAACTGAATGATAACACTGCAGGTGTCGGTACTCTGCGAGGATTGAGTGACCCCGGTCGTGACCACAAGAAACAACGAAACAGAGTGGGAAATAAAGTGCACACCACAAGCAGATGGAAACAACAGAGAGAAACACACAGCAGAAGCACCATTGGCGAACAGGCAGCGAGAAGGCAGGGGAGAGAGAAAGTAGAGCAACAAGCACAGAGAGCAAGGTTCAGAGACTGCAATTAAACGACCAACAGAGTTATCAGTGCCAGCCAGGCAATGCCCCAGGATCGGCGGTCCCTCTTTGCATTTGGAAGCCTCACCGCTTGTGCATGCCATAAACTGATATATTGAACTTGCAGGCTCGAGGTGCGCGGTTCGGTTTGAGTAAAACGAATACCAGCCGAGGACTGGCTGTGTGCTGCAATCCTTCTAGGACTGCGACGCCACTACTGGAATGTCCCGTTTGTACTTTTGCGGAGAAAGACTTTTACTCCGAAGTGTATCGACCCAAGGTGTGGCAGACGCCCAATAATTCGAGTAAGATGCAGTGGAATGCAGGATAGCTCACAGCCTGGCCTCTATAGGCTCAATGCACCGAGATACTATTTTGGTAGGGCAAATACATATAAGGCGTCTTATCGATTAAAAATCGACGCACGCGTCAATACACAGTTTTGGATCTCATTGAGAACCAAGGTGTCTGGTTAGCTCTCTGCAAGGCCAAAATTTTGAGGACTGAATGGTTCTGAAGGGATGTGCTTCGTGTGCCATACAACACATGTATGCTACGTGTTACAAAGTTTGCGGGCGCCTCTTAACGACAGAGAATTGTCGAGGGTTTACCAGAGCCCGTCTACTTGCATATAGGTGACACTTCTGGCCGAAGAGATGCGATCGCGGTTCGTCGTCGGCAGTGGTACCGTTCTGTATATGAAGCAGTAGTATGAATGATCATCCAATGACAGAAATGAAATGTAGGCCAGAGTAATGGATGGCGAACCTGGGTTTCATGAGCGCCGAGAGAAAACAAGCTACCTCTGGCACTACGAAAGTCAGTTCACTGTCGCAAAACGAGCTCGTTCGAATTTCGACTGGCAAGATACGTCAGCTTCCGAGACATATACAATGTGTCCCCACTACAAAATTTCCGGCACTTTTTTTGCCACAAAAATAACCTACACGTCGCCGAATGTTCATTCTGTGCCCCAATGTAGTGCCAGCAGCTCGTAAGAGGTGCCGAAATTTCAGAACTAATTGTCGTCTCATTCAAAAGATAAAAGTGATTTTTTGAAAATTTCAATGGGAAAATGGGCCCATTGTAACTCGTTTTCGGCAACTGGTGCCATTCAGCTCCGTGTACTCGAGTGTTCAACTATGCATGGTTTATTTTTACGGCAAAAAATATACCGTAAATTTGTGCAGCCAAAGATGGAAGGTGATTTTCCATCACCTTCCAAAGATAAAAGGTAATCTTCCATCACCTCCCGAAGATGGAAGGTGATGGTCTCGACGGTGTGTGAGCCATTACAAGGGGGCAATTGCTTTCCAAAGTCTGAAGGCGATGGTCTCGAAAAGGGATGAAAGACGAGCGAAGAACGAGAGCAGGACGGGACAGAGGTACGCCCAGCCTTCACTCGAGGAAGGGGTTCGTGTCAAGCGGATGGCCGTTGCGATCGTAGGACGAGAGCATGGAGGAGCTGGAGGAGCTCTGCTCCAGGAGCCCGCTGCCCACCATGACGTCCAGATCCACAAAACTGGGGTAGTGGGAAGAGCCCTCGGGGGTCTCGGGCACGCTCGAGGAAAACGGACTGCTGCACAGTGTGGGCTCATCTCCGACCAGGGCCGTCTCCTCTTCCTCCGAGAAGGTGGCCGTGCGGTCCGAGGGCTCGTCCTCCCCCAGGGTCTCCACATCCCCCTCCGAGCTGCCGCCGCTGCGCTCCGTGCCGGACGGGGACCGGCTGCTGCAGGGGCCCCGGCCCCCAAGACGCGGCTCCGACCCCGCCCTGGGCCTTGAGCCCTCTTCCTCCGACCCCTCCGCACGGTCCGACGACCCGCTTCCCTCACTCCCTGACCTCGGGAGGCTGCTGCCGCTCGAAGACGGTGGAGAGTCGCTCATGTCTTCCGGCTTGGCGAGGGCGGCCGTTGTCTCCGCGTTGTCCGCTTCGAGCAGCCTCGGGAGGGGGCACTCCAACGTCGCGTCTTCGGAGTCGGCGATTCGGGCCTCGCCGTCCTTGGGCTTTGCACCTCGGGGCTCATCCGCTTCCGGTTTGGCGACCTCGCCGAAAAAGGCGGCCGTCCTCGCCGCAACGTCCTTCGGGTCCAGGAGGTCGGAGAGGTCGGCGGCCGGTGGAGGAGGGCAGCCAAGCCGGGACAGCTCGTAGGCCAGGTCGCGCTCCAGCTTTTCGTACCTCCTCAAGACCTCGTTCACCTGGCTTGACCTGTACTCGGGGGGAGGCGGGATGCCCAGGATGCCTCCCAAGACCTCCTCCCCGAAAACCGTAACGACGGACGAAGTAACCGGAGTTGTGGGACTGAGTTGGGCGACGAGGCCTTCTGGCACTGGAGGCTCTGAGCCCACGAGGCTGAGGGTGAGATCCGACATCTCGACACCCATTCGTACGAGCGCCTCCTCGGAAGAGCCGTCGTCAAGAACGCCCCTAGCTGCGGACGGCAGTGACCGGACGCCAGAGTCGTCCATCACTTTGATGCTGTCCATTCTCATGCGCTTTAACCTTTCTTTTCGCTTAGGAGAGGAAGTGCTCCGCGGCGGTTCCTCTAGCTCTGCTCTCGTTACAATGTCGCCCTCGGGAGAAACTCTGTCTCGCTCCAGTGCTGCTCCGATCGGCGAGAGGTCGCCAGGGGTCGTGGTCACCCTCCTCTCCGGCTCGCCTTCGGCCAACCTCCTCTTGCCATCCACCCCGGACCGGTCGTCTAGCGGAGCGTCCCGCTCTGTCCCCCTTCTCTGCGGGGCCTTGCCTTCCCCGAGCAGCCTCTTCCTCCGCAGGACCTCGAAGATTTCCCTCTCCAGGGAGTCCTCCTCCAGGGAGTCATCGTGTGAAGAGAAGCTGTCCGCGCGCGGCAGCTGGGTCAGGTGCACAAAGTCCACCGAGCCAACCGCCGATCTCCCGCCCAAGGCCCTGGCCCTAGCAAAAATGGTGGGTGGGCTCGCCTGCCGTGGCGCGCCCGGGCGCCCCAGCTCGGCCCGTGCCACCCTCCTCCGCCTGTGGTGGCCCCCCTCGCTCCGTCTCGTCTTCGAGTCCCTCAAGAAGCCCCTCCGGTGGAGCAGGTAGCCGAACTCGGCGTCCTCCTCGTCAAAACTACGGCTCGCGCGAGCGAGCTCGGCCCCCCCCGCTTTTGACCTCCGGCGCCCGCCCTCCCTCTCCGCCTGCCCGTTCACCAAGGGTACCGTGTCCGCGCGCGAAAGGACGTCGAGGTCCGCGGTGATGTCGACCGCGAGGTCGGCGACTGCATCCGTCGAAAGGTCGGCTGTGGGGGTGTCCTTACTTGGGCTGCCGGGGGGCGCCGCGGCCAGCGACGAATCCCCCTCCTCGAGGCGGTAAGAGTCATGCGAGACGTTGTCGTCGGTGTCCTGGCTCGGTGTCACAGCCCCTCCCGCCTCCGTGGGCGCCCTCGGGGCCGTAGTTTCGCGGCCCGCCTCCCTCCGTGGAGAACTGGGCTCCGAGAGCGCCGCCGGAGTCGTGGAGGCGGACGCCTCTGCAGCTGGCGCGCGCTCCGCCTCTTCGTCATCTGAAGTGCCTACGCTGCTGCGCGATGGCAGACGCAGACTCGTTGATCTGTGGCAGGGAGGGTGGGGAGAGGAGCAAGGGAAAAGAGGAGAGTGAGCGTCAAAGGTCATTCTCCAGACATACTCTCGCGCTTTCTCCGAGCCAAATAGAAAGAGGGTATGTCACTGTCGGACGTTCTGCTTAGAGAGCAGCCAAACGTTCGAAAGCTCTGCGAGACGACAGCGAACAGGCAGCAGAGAGACTGAACGAAGATACCTCCGAAGGTGAACCTTTTTTGCTTGTTTCCATTGAAATGGCAAACGATGAAGAGACTGACCTAAACGAGGTCCTCCACTACACTTATTTCTACATTGCACTAGCACGCAGAAAAAAGGAGCCCAAGGATGAGGAGAGTTAAAGCGAGGATCGAAAAATAACCATTTTGAAAAGATTAGCCGATAAATAAAATTGTGCTAATCAAGTACTAGAATTGGCAAACAATTCTTGAGAATTCTGAAATGCAACACAAATGCATTCTACAGCGCAGCATATCTCAAATTTGTAAGAACTGAGCCAACTCTCCGCTCATGTAACAGACAAATGAGGACTCGATTTTCTGCTAGAGAGGCAGCGGGTGAATGCATTGTCAAAATAGCAGATACATTGCGCAAAGCAGACATGCCACCAGGCAAAGTTTGTTGGTTGTTTGCAGCATTTTCACTCGATGGAGTCTAGCTCTAAGTAAGGTAATTTGCCTTTTAATCAGCTAATCTTCACTTACAACCCAGAGTTTTTCTTTTGCTGGCACAGTTGATTTTCCTCAGAGGTAGAGGTAAAAGCCACCGAAAGACCCATTTACATTTGCACTCGCTAGCCATTCATTTCAAGATAAGCAGTGTGCTCAGATTTGTTTGCCTTCTGCAAATATAGAAAACTGGACCTCCTAAAAAGAGCAAAAGCCTTATGGCTGTTTCCCCAACTCACACTTCAGCACGAGGCTTAAGAAGACACTTCTTCACACAATGTCACCAAGAAACACAATGCCTGCTCCCAACTTGCCTCCCCGACAGATTTATCACGAATAGATCTCAGCAGCAGTATTGTAAAGCTCTCGCGAGCTACACTACTAGATGCATTCCAAATGGGAACATCTGCTTCCAAAAAGAACTGCGCCAACGTGAAAGTAGACGAAAATAATCCCTGGAGAAGGGGAACATTTGAGAGAAATCTCTCTGCACTGACATGGCCTTTAATGCAGTGCAGCATCAATGTTCAGGGGTATTATGCTGCAAGCAGACACTGATGTTCTGGTCCAAGCTTGTCTTCTCGACCACACTCTATAAATATCACACAGCAGAGTCAGTGCTTGGTAGAGAAGGAAACAGAATCTCTCTTACCGCAAAAATAAACTACAGTCTAAGCTCGTTATAACAGACCTTGATTTTGACCAAGATTTCGGTCTGTTGTAAGAGGAGTATGTTGTATGCAGATATGAAGTTGAGTCAGTGGTACATAGAGGAAAACCTGAACTTCACAAATCGGTATGTTATATCCAAATGTCTGTTGTAACCAGGTTTGTTGTAATGAGCTTAGACTGTATACATCACCAAATGCTCAGCCTGCACCCGAATGTAGCACGGGCAGTTGGGATAAGATCTTAGTTTCAGGACCTACCCATAACTGACCAAAGAGCTATAAACTACCGTAAAATCCCGAGTCATCGCCCGTCCCCCGCAGCCTGAAATTCATAAAAAAAAAAGTGAAAGCCGTTTACAACTCCCTGTAACACCAAATTAGAGTGCAGCTCTTGAGGAGGAGGAGGGAAGGGTACTGGGGGGGGGGGTGAAATGATCTGGGGGGGTCACGTGACCTTGCGGGGTCATGTGACCTTGAGGGTCACATGGCGATGCCGATGATGTCATCAGTGACGTCACTGATGACATCATCAGTGACAATGACGATGCGGACTCCAATGACGTCATCAGCGATGATGACGATGACGATGCGGATGTCAGTGACGTCATCAGTGACGTCACTGATGACGTCATCCGTGATGATGACGATGACGATGCGGATGCCGGTGACGTCATCAGTGATGATGACGATGACGATGCGGATGCCGGTGATGTAATCAGTGACGATGACGTCATCGGGGAGGTCACATGACCTCGGCGGGGGTCACGTGACCCTGGGGTTGGTCACGTGACCTCGGGGGGGGGGGGGGGGGGGGGGTGTCACGTGACTTCGGGGGGGGGGGGGGGGGGGGGTCACATAACCTTGGGGGTCACGTGACCCTGGGATGACCTTGGGGGTCGCGTGACCTTGGTTACGCCGACGCCGCTCAAGCCGGGAACGGGCCCCTAAGAGCTGCGCTCTAAAAAGTGGGACTGGCCATGTCTTGGTGGGTAAGCATAAAACGTCTAGAAAAAGCTAAAAAAACGCCCATTTTTCTGTCATATTTAGCACGGCTGCACAAGAGATACATTAAACTCAAATTACTTTCATTGTTTTAAGCAAGAAATGCTCATGAAAGGATGTTTTACTATCACAAAGTCCGTTGCTTGCATACGTGCAATGGGGACTGCCGATTGGAACACAGCGCTACTGTTTGTTCCGTGAAAGCACGTTTCTACTACTGCTATCTCCTCCTCTTTAGTAAAAAAAAAAAAAGGGAAAAAAGAGTCAACAAGAAAGCAGAAAAACCAATCAGGTGTAGCGAGCGAAAGAAGCGACGAAGAGCTATGTTGGGGAAACGAGAAAGCTGGCAATCGCGTTGGCAAATACTCTGTCGCCGGTCCAAGTCGGGAGCTTTGAGAATCTTCTTCAGCTTTTGTGCAACTTTCTTGTTTGGTGCATACATGCGTGCGTCCGTGCTCGGCATGCTATCAACGCGGGTTAAGGTGGCGTTGCTGCGTGGCGTGGACGGCACCACGAACACGAAGCTCGGAATGGCACGCTTTACAAACGTCTGCGTGCGGCGTTCAAGCAAATCTTTATTTACCCGTTGGCTTCGTCTCAAACATTACGCAACTTTACTACCCGCAGTCACAATGTTCTAGAAGAAGGAGTGAGTTCACGGCGACCTCGTATTGGTGGAGACGGAAATTGACCTAACATCTTCGACCTTAGACTCCACGGTTACATTTTAGGATATGGGGCGTTCGCTGACCTCGCGATCCCTGAATGGGTTACTGCTTTTTCTTTCCAACGTTTTTTTTTTGTCCAGGCAAACATTTTTGTAAACAAAACAAAGTTTGATTTAGTTATGTCTATTGTTTTCCTTTCGCATGCATGCACTCCGACTTACGGGTTGCGGAAATCGGGGAGGAAATGGGTAAGCAAAGTGAAGTGTCTTTCCATCCTTTGATTTACTTTGTCACGGACGTCCTCGAACCGCAAGGTCCACGGCCGCATCATTCGGGTAGGATGAATGATTGCGGATCTTGCAATCCGCATTGAGATAGTTGTAGGGGTGGGCAGTACTTTCGAAAATATTTTATGAGAAGATGGCAGCCAACCAGGCCCAACATGGCAGCCAAAAGTAGATCTAACACCGAAAACAAGCTTCTTTTTCTCAATGAAACTTTCCAAAAATCATGTCCTTCGAATAAAAAAACGCGAACTTCTACAGCTTTGTGATCCGGTCCCACCTGCTAGAGCTACATTCAGGCAGCGAGCGAGCGTTGGGTGATGCACACAGTTTATTTCTGCGGTGAGAGAAACATAGCTTCTCCCAAACACCCTGTACACATCAAAAGAATTGGTTGAAAGTCACTAGTAGATTTTGTACTTAGAGTGAAGTAAAATCCACACAGTTTTAAATAAATTACATCAAACATGATGGACATTATCAAAGTGAATAGCAGATGTTTCCTTTGGCAGAACCAACTTAACTCTCATGTCCATCGAAGATATCCTTAATGAAACAAAACTCAAAAATAAAGTGCGTTAGAACCTAGAAAAAATAAATATCTGCATTTCGCTTGCTAAGAGGAAAATCTTGCGATTATCGGCCAAGTGATTCCATCAGTGATTCAACTGTTTTATCACAAGCCAAATTTGGGAAATGTACTTGGAAGTCACCTATTAGACTTTCTTTAGAAAGCAACATATACAAAACTTACTTTACTTTAAGTACAAAGTAATGCTATAATTACTTTCCCACATTGTATAGAACAAATATGAGACAGAAAATGACCATGTTGCCTTCCCAAAAGAACATCATGCAAGCCATGCCAACATGCCATTCTCAAGCCATGGAAAAGAAGAAAAGGAAGAGGGTAAGAGGGAGGGCAAAAAGATACATTGAAATACAGATGGTATAGGGAGGTCCTGATACTAGTGTGCTCAGCAGAAGTGCATAAGTGTTTGTCGTAAAAAAAGGAAAGAATGTCAGAAAAAAAAAAAAGAACTGCAGTTGTATGGTGTGCAAGAGACAAAACTGAAAGGTAATTTTTAGGTGCCTTTCAGCTGAAATACAAACAACCGACAAAGCAAGAGGGCCTTCAAGAGAACGTTCTGGCAATGCTGTGTGAGCAGACAGTGAGAATGGTAGTCTGAGTGAAGAGGTGAGCGACAGAGAGAAAGAGCGAGACAGACAGATAGAAAGAGAAAAAAGATGTTTGCCACATACCGGTTAAGGCATTTGAGTGTCAAACGGTAAAGTATTGGGGACCGAGTATGTACCTTTGAAAGGGCTGCCTCTTCACATAGTTCTCCCTAACATATTCAACAATCTGCTTCTGCGTTCTACCACTATACCTGCAAAGAGACAAAGAGCAGAAAGAACAAACAAAGGAGCCTCTCAGGCTGGCATCTAAGACCAAGCGTCTAAGACGGGAGGGGGCAAAATGATAGACAACCCAGAACACCCCCCACATGATTTGCATTAACATGCCTCAACCCCCTTTGCCCAACAACAATAACGCCATGTTTACGATGGCATGCACATGGAACCGCATTCGTAGAACCGCTAGAAAAACATCCAGAGAAAGCAAAAACCAAAATGCCACAAAGAAAGAACTAGGCACAGTTGGGACAAACTTCAAGCATCACTGCACCATCGCTCACTGGAGCTACGGAGCTTCTGCAGTGGCGGCATTTACGAAAGCAAATGCACAAAGAATTCAAAGCATACCTCAGATCCACGGAGATACTAAAACAAACGTTGCACAGTCATGTCGAAGAGAGAACTCAAGAAAGAAAATGAGGAGAAGGACTCATCTTCGCTGCATCACAGGCATCGTCATGCAAGTTGATTTCGAGCCTCTGAAACGATGCAGCTTGGACGAAAACATTAAGCTCGCTATGCAACTCTTTCTTTTTTGGCACAAACATAGACACACACACGTGGCAATTCTGAAGGTGCCTTATTGAACCAGAGACCGCCAATGAGTTCCCGCCCATGACTGAACGCACTCTCCAACTCCGAATGATTTGCACGCTAAACATGCTCGTCATGAGCTAACCTGCGGATATATTTGACAAAGTTCACTTTCCTCAATCTTGCAGCTAAATGCACATTTCTAGCCCAACTGAATCCCGTACACTACGGTGTAACCAGCAGGAGCCTAAGCCCACCTGCTGAACAACGAAATGTACGCTTACATATAATCTGTTGCAACGTAAGATCTGGAGGCTTCTTAATTATGAGAAAGAACAGGCATCACTACGCCATTCAACAAAAATGCACCATTTTTTCCGACGTTAAAGCGTAGGTTCTCAGAGGGTTCCCCAGAGTTGGGTACTTTTGAGCTTTTCCCCTGTGTAAGCATTTTCCCAGAACACTCTTTTAGCAGATCTGAGCAGATCTGAGCTGCATAACTATGAGACAAGCACTCCGTGTATTATTGTCTACAAAGTCTGTCCATACTGCTTCACCGGGAGGGGTTCCTTCCTTTTCCTGCGCCAGGAAAAGAAAGGTGCTTCGGTTAATTTCAACATAGCGGCAAGAAGCATTAGCCCTCGCGACACATAACCGCATTTCTTTACAATCTTTTTAAGACAATATTACGGGGTAACATCCACGAGCTTTTGAAAAGGAAGAAAACTCAAAGTCGACACTAGCCTCGCTCCTGCGACTGGCTGAATTGGTCGGAGCCTCGGCTCAATCGTAGCTGTTCACCGGCAATGACCGCAAGTGAGCGCAATCTCCTTACCGTACCCCGCGCCTATTGGCGCGAGTCTGAGTCCTTGCTAACTCAATCCCTTCAGTCTGCGTTATGTGCTCAACTTCCGGTCGGTCTCTAGCGCCCTTATTCATCTTGGATTGAGACGGCAAGATTCTGGAAGGTGCAACTGTACTGAAGCACTTCTCCTCAAAGCAATATGGTGAGACAGCCAACAGAGCGAAGCATGCGCTTTTATAACCATACGTAGTCGCTCCGAAATAAAAAAAGATAGACTGTAAAATACAGAGCGAGCGCCCAGCCTAAATTGGGAGATAATTAAAAAAAAAAAAACTGAGGGATGGCCGGATGGAGGAGCATAAGGGTCGAGTGGGCCCTTGGTCTGATCACCAAATTCACAATGGCCATCGTCTGCCGAGCTAGTCAAGCGCGCCAACTCGTAAAAACAAAACGTCGGCGTTATATTCGCTGAAGAAAAACCGCTCTACGGTTACACTGTTGATTGCTTTCGCAATTCGCCACTTGCAGCCATAGCTCGCACACGCGTACTGCCATGCTTGATTTAGCTTGGCTTGGCCTAGCTGCTTGGCAGCCTTGACTTGATGGCTGCGCCGGAAAGAAAATCAATAGGTACGTTCAATTCGGCCAGAGAGTCCTGAACTAGCTCTATCCAAGTTGAGAGGAGTGCAGGAGTTGTGCAGTGGCAGTGGAGAACCAGTGGAGCCACCACGTTAGGATTGGCGCTGTGATTAGCTTCCGGAGTGTAAGCGCAGGGTGTTGTTTGCATCTGTCCTCTCTTGTTTGTCCATACCATGTCATAAGCAACATTAACTTCTGCCCGATTTAAAAAGCTCGGTCGCTTTTCTTTAGTATTGAAGTACATAAACAAAATATTTTCTACGAATGATTCTTTATTCTAGTGTACTAAAAATGTTTTCAGCACCAAATGCGTTTCTGTCAGAATTTTTAACAGTTACCACATGCTTTCTATCGTCCATAAGCATTTGTGTGCTTGGACTGCGTACACCACGAAAGAATTAAAATTCATTTGGCAATAGTGGATTAATTGCGAGTCTCTCGAGTTTCGCATTTCGGTGATAGGTTCGTGGCATCAAGATGATTTTGCGACGGGAGTTGCCGGCGGCAGCAGACGGTAGCAGTCACTTAGGAGATGAAGGCCTGACAGGAACGTCGGCTTGGCCAAAACAGTTATCGACCGTCACTTTAACGTCAAGATGAAGCATTTATTCTGACTCTCAAGAAAGATCCGCGTGGAGTTTGTGGGCAGCCGCAGATACCAGCAGACAAAGCATGCAGTATTTACTCAGCTACGAGGGCACACGAGTGCCAATGTACTAAATCGCAGACCTCTTCAATGCATCGGAGTCGTAGTCTGCATCCAAGAGCAACTGAAGGTGGGGGCTATCAAAAGTATAAGTAATATTTTACCTCCATCAACATTGTGAATACCCATATAGCATCAAAAAGAATAAATCTATGAGACAGCAATCTTTCAACACTTACCGCAAAGAGCCAAACCTGTGCGAGCAGGTGCGTAAGACGCAAACAGAGTATCATAGTCGAGCTAATTCCTACCCTTCGTCAGGATCCTGCTTCCGCATCCACCAGGGGTGCATAATTTTCATCAGTAAGAAACAATGTAACCTCCGTCTCGGCATCACTGTTAAACATGGCAGACATTTGAGCAAAAGCTCCGAGAAATGGCATTACGAGGAGAGGCAGACGAGGAGTGTCGTCTGCTCTCGTCGCCTGCTTCTGCATGCACAACGAACTGACTCCGGAGCCAATGCAAGGTTTTGAGGAACTGGCTCTGAACTCAATCAGAACTAGGATAAATTGAACGTGCCAGTGCAGCAGCCGTGCAACTTCTGTTTGAATTAAATGCGCCAAGTATTAATGACTATTTGGGGGGGCTAATTATGCGATTAAGTAAAGTAAATAAATGAGGCAGTAAACACTTTATTAAGAAAAATTAGGAAGAGGTCGATTGCTCACCGTCTAGTCTTCGTCAGTAAAGCCTTTGAATGTTTCTTGCAAGTTGGAACAAAAGAATAGCTCATCTATGGGTTTGTACCCCCTTTCGACTTTGCACCCGTGCTACGCCCGCACTGTGCTCCGGTCGCGGAAATAACGGCTGCCCACGGCGATAGGGCTCTTGATGCAGCTACCAGATATTTTGAAACTTGCTAAAAATAGGGAAGTGGGTGTTTGATATATCCTTGGATCGTTTTTAAAATTTATCAAAAGCAGGGGGTGGTCGCTTATTGTGACATGGGTGCATGTTCGGTACTTTACGGTATATTCCATGAAATTGTCGACTCAATATATTCTGTTGTACTTGCCATTGCGCAGTGTTTTATGAAAGGGCACAGTTTCCTTTTTTCATGACCTAAAAAACTAGCGGCTGTAGAAAAGCCAGAACCTGGTGAATTGGGTGAAACTTTTTTAATTGCCACATGCTGTTATTCTACTCCATTTCTATTCCAATTTCGAGCTTACAAAACAAGGCTGGACGGATAGGCGGGACGCTGCAAAACCCAAAAACACCATTCATACAGCGGTATGTCTAATGGATCGCCGTATATTTGGGAAAGAAGTGCGCAATTGCACAAGGCCGACGAGACAAGGCTCGTCACGATACCCCTTCCCTCTCCACCTCGCTACGTTCGGTCGAGCTGAAGAGAAGCGAGGAGAAAAGAAGCGAGACCGCCTCGCTTGATTGCACCCTTCTTTTCCAAAAGTACACTCATCCGTTTGAGATATCGATGTATGAGTGACGTTTTGGAGTTCGTAGCATCCCATTCAACGCTTCTGCAACCTTATCTTGCGAAATCCAAATTTCGGTTTAGCATCCCTTTAAGCTAAAACTGCAGCCATAGCTACAAGTGTGAGCTAGCCCGTGATCGTGGCTTTGGGACATTCCTTTCTAGCGCGAGAGCTCGTTCTGTGGACGAACGCGAACTCGAACAGCGAACTCGAGCTCTCGTGCTTTTTGGACTGGCTGCAGTCTTTGCTTAAGGGTGAACCGAGTATAGATTACGCTGGTATCAGTTTGCAGAATGTGCGAAGAAAAGCGGTCTTCAACAGCAATAACCTGCTTTGAAGTCTTCATACAGCTTTCCTTAAACTGACAGCATGAAATGAGGTGGAATCCTCTGCAAATGTGTCTTTTTTGTTTCTTTCCGCCAAATCTGTTTTCAGCGCCGAATTAATTTCCCAGCCCAGAAGCGGTACTGTGGGGCAAAAAAAAAGAAAGAACAAGCACGGGCATCTTGAGAATGCCACACGCAAGCCGCACGTACCAACTCACATTACCTCGTCTTGCTGTGTTTTGTCTCACGGTGCTTCAGTTCCTAGCTTGGGTTCCCACTTTCCTAAACTACCTAAGTGCTAACCTGCCACCTCGAGAACAGACGAATGAGGATTGGCCTTGAACTCGTCCATACTCCTCTGCTCTTCAAGACGATGGTGGCGAGTGTCTGGGCGGGGCTTTCTCTGGCTGGAGCCTCCCCTGAAGGCCTTACGTTGCAACGCAGTTCTGGCTCAAGCTAGCACCAAGACAATTAGAGCAGATGGGGGGCACAAGAAGCACTCGAGCAAATGGAACACATTGACGTCTGCTAGACAGCAAATCCCTCTAAGCGAACGTTCACGCCACCCTATTAGCAGACGAAAGCAGCCAGTGAGTGACCCAGTCACAGCAGCGACGCTAATCGACCGACACACATTGGTTGCCAGCCGCGCAAGTGCCAAAAAAAAACTGTCAACAAGGAAGGCAATAAAAGCATGCTGGCAAGCTGATTTATCTTGAGCTATGAACGAAGCTGTCTTTGTCATGCCCAGTGCTGCAAAGAACATTTGCGTTGCCTCTGTCTCAAAAGTGCCGTACAGCATTGCCGGAGGCACAGTCTCGAGTGCCCAATTCTGCGCTTCTGTTGCTTGAGGTCTCGAACAAACACTAAGCCTTTTGCGAAGCTCTCGTCTCAGACCCATGTCCTTCAAAGCGTTGCACGGAGCTTAGGAGATAAAATATAGTGGGACTTTGAGCTTAGAACCACTATGATGTGGTCACACCAACCCTACTAAGTACAAAGCTATACTTAGTTAGCACCTCGTTATGCCTAATGCAGCTTAGCCCTAGCCAAGGGTGATGAGAGCACGTCCTCAAGGATGCTTCCAGGAGTCTTCCTTCTAGAGACAGCCCGAATGCGCAGCGGTATGAAGGCATGCACGCCCCTCGAATGAAGGGCGAACAGAGTCCGGCTTACCTGAACGACGAGCCTCGGCTGAAGAGCCGAGTTTTCTGCCGGGGTGTCTTCTTCACCTCGGTGCAACGGAAAAAGGCGTGGTTCTCAATGCACTTTTTCCAGAAGTTCTTGCACTCGTTGCGACTCTCGAAGAAAAACTCCACCGTTTCCTTGTAGTAACCCTGCGGCAGCCAATTGACGGCCGTCGTCACTTGACCGGCTCCGAGAAGACCCCCGTCGCACATTACGAGAAACTCTCACGCTCGCACCTCTGCCCGCGTAACACCCGCAGCGGCGTAATTCGAGCGAACCACGTCTTATGAATGTCCTCAAAATGTCCACACACCACCGCGACATCCCAAGGACGTCCGCAGAGCTGAGAGTGCTGCTGGGACAAAGGTCGGTTTGATGCGGTACAAAGCTGTAATTCGCCACAAACATGCGGCAGCTGTTGAAGACAAAAGTTTTGGCACCGAGGTGAAAGCCACGAATGCAATCGCACGATGCGCGTGATGGAGAAGGAAGCTCTGGAGCTTCTGTTCGGATAAAAGCTAGTTCCATAAAAGATGTAATACTAGTTTTGAACTATGCATGAATGCAGCTCCCGCAATTTATTCTTCCCATTTATGGAAAAAAAAAAAAGAGCCTTTATATTTGGAGTTATATCTAGTAAAAAGAAAAAAACCAGCGTTTCCTGCTACCGAGCATCTAGACCCGACACCGAGCATAAAATGCCAGCCTTGCAGAGACGAGCGAGAATTCCCGTCCAAATACCCGATACGGTCAAGCTTGCCTTTGGTTATAACCAGGTTTCCAAGTTTACGTGGTTTATTTTCTTCTAAGTGGGGCATGGTTTTTCGGGGTTTGTTTCTCCCCTTATTTTCAATGTTCTTCGGCATCTATTCTCGGGCCAAAAGTATTGGGGCTTTTAAAAAAAACAAGACGCTCGACCTGCAAAGAATGCGTGAGCCGTGAGAAGGAAACAAGACAAGCGGCATGGTTCCCCGAGAAAGCCTCGCCACCATGTGGGCCATGTTCTGGCTCAACACAAAATGAGGCTGTACATGGAGACTCCATGTTTCTTATTCAAGGACAGCTTCCATTGCAGTTCTCCGATTTACGACCGGCTCGGGCGCTGCTTTGTCCCAGTTTACCTGTATTCACCCAAAACAGGAAACCCTAGTTAAACTCGATGCAGCCCGACTAAACAAAAAAAAGTAAAAGGTAAAATATTCTCGCTTACTAATAAAAATGCCCTTAACGTACCCGGCGCTCTAATTGTTCGAGGCACCCGGCGCACACTTCTCCTCAAAACTTCTCGAATGAACGACAGATACTAACGGCCATAGCCCTAGGTCCAACGAGCCCAACCGAGTGAATTTTTGTGACGCTTCTTACAGCGACAGAAACGATAAAGGCACGTGTACGACTCGGAATATGAGTCTGACTTATCGTTCCTAGATACATTTTTTCCCGAGAACAAGACCATATTCATTTATTTATTTAACGATACCACTGGCACCAACGAGGAGAGGCACGGCCTAGCATCCACAGTAAGAGAATGCAATTATTCGGATTGCGGATGTGTGTCGACCATGACTGACAAGCGGAATACCTTAGGCTTTTCTGCTTTGAGCTTTTAAAGCAAGCTAGAGGGTACCGGAGTTGCACCATATTTTATACTCACGTTTAAAAAAAGTAAACTAAAAGAAAATCTAAGCTTGTTCCATGCAATGAGTGGCTGTTCTGCTGTGCCGAAACTGCGAAAGCCTTAGGAAACATGCCCCGTCAGAAACGGTTGCGTGGCAGAAAGGGTTTTTAAATAGAACGTAAGGGCTCGTGGCACTTCAGCCGTGTCACCACTTTCTGCTTTACAATTCTTAAGGCCACTGACAACCCAGGCATCCATACTTTTTTATAAATCCAGTAAACTCTAAATGATCCCTAGACATCATCCTAAACTTTTAAACTTAAAAGCAACAGATTTACAGACAAAAAAATATATTTTCAAAAAGTCCAATTTGAAATTTTCACCCAAATCAATGACACAATGATGAAATGGTGCATTCATTGCTTTTTTGAATGACTGGAAGTGTCGTTTAACTTTCTCCCCTCCCCTTTCCTCTAACCGATCGTGGCAATTCAGGCACTCGTGTCTGCCAACCAGTCAACTGCATATAGTACTTATTTTGATGTGCGCTTCGCAGGTCCTTTCTCCATGTGTATATGATGCACCACTTCTCAGTTTGATTTTTTTTCTTTAAGTGTCCTATTTAGTAGGTTTAAGTTGCTTTAATGCAGAATGCATTTATGGGCTGAATACCGTGCGAAAAGTGTTACGCTCAGGTCCGACGAAAAAGCGTTACATGCAAGCCAAGGCAGCAGCATGCGCGGCCCATAGAAAGCATATAGGAGACATTGTTTGTCATACTTAATCAAACGCAATTATAACTACGAATAAATAATCGTAACAAGAGAGATTTACCCCACAGCTCACAGGAATCGAACCCCTGACTGTGCAATCTGCAGCCCTTTCCTCGGTGCCGCCGAGAGGAGGTGAAGGCGAGGACAAACAGCTGGACTAAGTAGAGTCGAATCTCGTCAATTCAAATTCTCTTAATTCAAACTTACAGAAATTCAAACTAACATGCAGGTCCCATCCTATGTGTTTCCCCCCCCCCCCCCCCCCCACCTACAGGAGGAAACTCCCGGTAATTCAAACCTTGCTTTATTCAAACAAATTTTTGGTCCTCATCAAGTATGAATTAGCGAGATTCGACTGTATGTCTCAGGGGAGCCTGCAGTACCGTAGATGACCTTCGGAGCACACAGCCAACTACCCAACAATAAAGCGTAACTCCCCACGTGATCTTACCACGTCACGGAGCGGATTGTAATGTGCCCACGGACTGGGCGGCGGACGTATGACATGTCAACTTCGCCAAGCAGTCAACACACTACATAGAGTGCACCACAAACCTTTATCCCTCATTATTATTTTGGTTACCGCAAGAAGCTCTTCACAATTCGAGAGCACTAAGGTCTCGAGGTGCTGCACGTATCCTCCAAAGAAGCGGAACCAGGGGGAACTTGCAAATAAAGCGCGCTCCTCGCGGAATAAATTAAAATTTGCCTCAATAATTCTGATATACGTGGGGAGTAGATAAAAGTGTCACACGTGCAATGCATCCAGAAGCACCCAAAGCTCCCCGCAACAACAAATCATAACACACGCAAAATGTACGCAGGACACATTCCGTACTCCCCGAGTGAATGACCGACATAAGTGTTTTTTTAAATAGGTAAAGAGGAAACTGATGTGCTGCAGGCTTTGGTGAGTAACGTCGGGGTCAACCCAAGCTGTTTGACCGGTTCACAATTGCTGTCTACAAATCTAACATACATCCGGCACCGAAAAAAAAGAGAAGAAAAGAAAAAGCTTGTTTGAGCCTGAAATGAGTGATAAGGTGCAGGTGAGCTGGTTTACGTTCATGATTTAAGACTTCGTCATATATGTCCTTGTTTCTTCTGTCTCAGGGTTGTCTTGAATCTTGTTTGAGCAGTCACCAAAATCCCAATTGTCCCCATCACTCTCAATGTGCTCAGCACAGGTGCAGGGTGCCACTATATTGAGGGAAAGGAAAAGAGGCAGAAGACGGCCGACCCATCTTACTAATGGCCAATTCGTCTGGGCCTGCACCACACCCGTCCAGTGCAGTAAACGCTTTCCACTTTATACACGAAAGGCTGGCGGGGAGAGAAGGACGCTTCCCTCTCCCCTATAGCCTTCCGTGTACCACGAACCGCACTGCACCGGTGCGGTGCGGGCCCAGACGAATTGGCCATTACACTTCTGGGCTCCAAGATTTTATATCTCGACATCAGTGATGTAGTATGCTTGCATAGGTTGTAAAAAATATAATTGATAAATGTTATTATTAACTGTTATGCACACGTGACTCGCGATATGTCTAAATTTATGTAAAATGTCTTCACCTACTACATCATAAAATGAAAGCGAGAAGGAACCCGGATTACGAGAGCGAAACGCAAATATTAGACAGGCTAGAATTTGTTTTTTTATGCAGAGTTTGGTTAGTTGGTAGCATTTTCAAGAACCCCTCCCGCTGCTTCTGCAGGAACTATAGATATTTACTGGTGTGGTCGTTGTGCCACAGAGACGACGAAGAGGTCGGCACGCGCAAGCGCTGAGCTCGGGACACGCGCAGCAGATGTTTCCCTAGATCGCCTAAAGCCCGCCTTCGTTTCTCCTTTGGACACAACTCCCACAATGTCCCAAAAATACGCTGTCGCCAACTCCACGCCTCCAGCGCAAGTGCCACAGGCCACTTGTCCAAGGGGGGGCATCTGTGGTCGTTGTGCCACAGAGACGACGAAGAGGTCAGCACGTGCAAGCGCTGAGCTCGGGACATGCGCGGCAGATGTTTCTTGAGACACCAACGGAACGGCTCGGAGGCGGCATCGGGCGATGCGAACTGCAGTCTCATTCCGCTTGTAAATACTTGTAAATATATTTATGCGTGAAACCTTACTTCTGGTTCCCACACCGGCATTCCCAAAATCGCACCACCAGATTTGGCTAGATTGAACCTGGCCCGACCCGAGAACGAAGCAGTTTGTGTAGATCGGCCCAAGCCCGGCCACGTCTGAACAAGGCCCTTCTAGTGTTACAATGGCTTTGCCTTTATGTCAGAAAAAAAATAACAGTTTGCCATGCACGGGCATTTGGCGTGCGCGGCGGTCTCGCATGTGCCAGGAAGAAAATCAGACGAACTAGATTCTAATAAGAAGTGGCGGCAAGGACGGAATACAAACCCGCACGATCAAACTGGCTAAAGTCGGTGTAGAGCTCTAGGCTGGCAAGAACACCACCAATCTCGGAGACGTTCAGAACAGGGTTGAGGAATGTTGGCGGAATGTTGGTAAAAGCATCTCGCAGAAGAAAAACGCAAAGCCTACCAGAGTGGGAGGGCATGCCTTTAAAACGCCCTGCCTCCAGTAGGCATGCCTTCCGCCACAATTTGTTAGTGCGCGCAACTTGCACGAGGAACCCAAGCGTCATTGAAGGCAGGACGCTTGAGCTGGAGGAGGGACAACTCAAGCTTCTCCTTCACACCTTGACTATCAGAAGCATGCGACCAGACAGTGGTGCCACAATGCAACCCCTAGCAGAAGCATTTCATATTGAACACGGCCAGACTGGCCAGACAACCTGTGGGTAGGTTTTTGACTTCCAAGGTGACAAACCTTTACTGTGCAGCGAGATCAAGAAACGTGGCAGCGGAAAGGTACAGACGCATCCGAGATGCCGCAGGCGCATTAGAATAGGTCCCAACAGGTAACGCTTTGCAACACCGACTTTGCTGCCAACCACCTTTCAAGGCAGAACAAAACGTCCCCTTTGGGTGCCGCATGCTCCCAATAGCATTGCCCTTAAAAGTGCATTCCAACGATCCGTGATGAGCAGCGACACCTTGAGCACCATATCGCCATCTAACGGACTTGGCACTTACGTAGCCCTCGGGGTGGAGCTTGATGAGGAACTTGCGCCTCTTGAAACTGAGCTTGCGGATCTTTGCCCACGAGAAAGTGTTGATCTTGGTGGTGTTTTGGAACACTATGACGCCCATGTGTGCCACCGAGAGGTTCAGGGGAAGGCCGTCGTTGTCCTGAAACAATGGGCACAATCAACGCCGTCGCAACGAGCTGAGCGGCGCAGTCGGTCCGCACCTTTGCGGCAGTCATCCGGATGCCGTAGAGCTCGCATCTTCGTGCCGTTTCGAGCAGGTTGAGATCCGACTCTGCTGGAGACTGTCCCCTGCAAAAACAAAAATTTGAGGTGGAAAAGACGCGTAGGGTGCGCGAGTTCTTAATAACACTCAGAGGTAAGTACGCATTTTCCGGTCCTAAGTCACACATAAAATAATCCCTCGTTATGACGCAATAGCTTTATTAATGCAAAAGTCTTTTATGTCTCATCGTTCAGGCGTTTTTCAAATTCCTTAAGTGAAAACGTGTCGACGACACGAAAAGTATGAAAACACGTCGGCGACACGAAAGGTACCAAAACCCACGGTTTGCCACCAGACCACGAGACGGCGATACTTGTGTCAGAATCGGCGGAGGCACGCGTGCGGCGCAAACCCAGTGGGAGAGGGAACACCCACGCTCGGGCAGTGGTGAAGAGCAAGCGTGCGAGATGACGTAAGAGTGACGGCGCCAAAACTGCGAGATCAGAGAGAGCACGCTGTCTTCGGAGGTTCGCCATCACCAGGATCGGTACTTGGGCTTCTTCGCCTTCAAGTCGTTTTAGGGACAACGTAAGAGACCCTGTGAATTTTTCTAAGTTGAACGCGGTTCCTACCAAAATGCGTGCATTTTGAACTGAATTATGATAACTGTATACGAAGTGTATTACGAAGGTTGCGGTACAGAAACCACACGAGCCTACACGGAGGCACGCAAGAGATCTTTGCGTTCCCTCCGATTCCTTCACTGAGGCAAACGGTAGACTGTGCCAGACGCAAACAGAAAACTGCCAAAGGATGATGGAAAGCGGAGAGCCGATTCGAATGCCGATGCACCGACGAGACCACGTTTCTACGCCGTGCACAACGCCCGCGGCCCAATTTCGGTCGGAACCGGGTCGAGGAAGCGAAGGAGTTCAAAAGAGATTGTCCCTTTGGGAGTCCCCAATGCACGTGTGGAATACACGTGCCACGTGCGTCGCGTGGGAGTGTTTATCAAAAGTCGACTCGATCTACGAGGTTCAAAAAATGTGGTCGGCCCAAGTCTGAAGTTGCCGAGAAATTTGACATTCAGGCATTGACTGTTCGACCCTATCAACCATCTAGCGGAACGAGCAAGACGTGACGGTCGGGTTACAGAAGAGTTTCTCGTGCAAGAGAAAGCGCACCCGTGATTTAAATATCAAAGAGTGCCAACAGCTTTGCAAACGTCAGATTCTATCTCACGCGCGTGCTTGTTGAGTTGGCACACAATTGCCAGAGCTGCAACGACCTCTACGGGAGTGTGTGCGAACCCAGTCATGGTATAAACACATTGGTGATGCCGCCGAGCATAACTTGGATTAGTTTGCATTTGTCGATGGGTCTCGTTGTTGCTCCTGCCACAAATGCTGCGGTTGTAGACCTTTTGTGCAGCGAAGGTAAATACGAAGAGATGTTGGAGTGGCACCTGGAGAAATACCGACAACTCAGCGACGCGAACCATCCTACGGCTGCTTCCGAACAAAGTGGAATGCAGTGGCGGTGACAGTGCTCTTGCAATGTTCCAAGCAACTAAAACAAAAACTGATGCCCTGAAATAACGTTTTAGAAAAAGAGGGGCACGACACAACTATGTTGATGCTAACCCGTTTCATGACACAGGTGTTGCTGCTCTTCACGGTTTAATTGACTGCCTTGCGCGAGACTGTGGCCTGCCCCTCATCATGGCCACTGCAGCACACACTCAACCTAGGTTTGTCAATGCAAAGGAAGCCTCCTGTTGACTCATCGACGATGTGGTTCTACATCGTAAACAACTGTGGCTGGGTGGTGCTGCGGGGAATGCTTAGGTTTCCGCCGACTAACTGCCTACAAAAGGACCATCTTCCATGCAAGCTTCGATTTGTTACCACGAAGGGATCTAACCCGCTTTAGATTAATCCTAAAAATGAGTTTTGCATGTGCCAACATTCTAATTCAGCATGAAGGTGTGGCTAAGTGGTGCTTTTGTTTTTGGAAATATCAGAGCATGCTTGCATCAATTACAAATAGCATTTCAAAATCTTTCCTACAAATCAATGTAGAGCTAAGCCTTTTTAGTGCCAGTGTGACAAAGCATGGTTATGAGCGTTTGATTTAACAAGAACAAAAAAGAATGCAAAATTAATTCGGACTTTTCTGCTGTGCCACGCTTTACCTAATAAAATGTCTTAACTGCCTACGAGAATGCTTTTTCACGTGTAATTTAAAAAGGCTCAACTACGAACTGAGCCACAAGAAAATTTGTTTTTACTTATAACCTTCAATTGATGGAAGTTTTCACCAACATTTTCAGAAATACACAAACTAGCCATACCTTTGTGGTAAGTTATGGTGTCGGACCTTTCAAAACTGGTTTTTGAGATCTATTCTAAATTGGTCAGATCTATTTGACCATCGCTTTAAGCCTAGTTAACTTTGTAGCTTCCCTACAATGTTCATTATTGGTCTACCATAATCACATGTGCAACCAAATACAAGACAAGAATTGCAACGAACAGCAAGGAGGACTGCAACCGCATGTCCAAAAGGACACTAAAAGAAGAATGTGGTCAGTATTTTCAGCACAATAGTTAAATACAAGGACCGTGTTCATAACCTGCTGTATGATGATCAGATGATGGTCATGCAAGCATACTTCCCCGATTCTCCTTCAAAACAGGCAACTTAGAGTCCTGAAGCTTCTAAATCTCGCCAGCACTGCCGGAATTGCTTGCTGGGAAAGTTTCGGTGTCCTGCAATGTGCCTACGTGTTTCGATGAATCACTTGATGTTTTTTGGGACCAAGCAGTAGAACAGTTTGTTCAAAAAAAGTGAGCAACCGTCCGCATAGGTTCCAAACCGGCAGCACCACGAGCACCCCAGCAGGGGTGTCAATTTCATTTCGTACACTAGACTGATCTATAGAAAAAGCTAAAGGACAACATGGCTACCCTGTTTTCTCAAAACATTCGATCAGCTAAATACAGTAAGCTCAGAATAATTAAAACTCGCACATCTCATAGTTCTGGTTAATTCAAACAAATTGCAAAATCTTGATTGTCCCGCTATGCATTTATAAGCCACTTAATTCGGACGGAGTTTATATGTAAGTCACACTTTTTTTACCTCGTGGCCCCATTCTTACCGAGCACCTGTAAGAGTCTGCGGAAGCTTTTCAGCAGTGCATCGGCGCTCTGTAAGAAGCATGTTCAACGGGGCTAATAGTCCACAATAGATAACCTTTTTGCTCAAAGAACAAACTTAATTTTCTGTTGAGGTGTCATGTACTGTCTAGGTGCTCCACATTATAAAACAATTTGGAGGGATGAATAAAGTCAAACTCAAGATGAGTTTGACGAGCATGTTAGGTTAATACTCGTAGGATATGCCAGCTGAACGAATGAAAAAATAAGCAAGACAGAGAGAGTCGCAAGGAACAAGCACACGCACTCCGCTGGTATGTTTTTTACCAGCAAAGTGCGTGCGCTCGTTCCTTGCGACTCTCTCTGTCTTGCTTATTTCTTCGTTTGTTCAGCTGGCATATCCTACAAGTATGAATAACCAACCTGCTCAGCTTTAGGCAATTGCAAGGTTAATACTCAACATGAAGAAAGCAAAACACAAACAGGGGACAGAAAAAGATATGCACATGTCTGTCTCTGTCCCCAGTTTGTGTTTTGCTTTCTTTGTATTGCTTATCTCGTACATTTCACTAATGTTCCATGCATTGCATAGCTGTTTACGATTAGTAGGCCTGTATAGAGAACATCATCAAATATATACTCTGTATGCGTAGTCATCCATATAACAAATCATAATTTTATCTTGCATCATATTTAGATGAATTTCAGAAAATTCAAACTTCCAGTAATTCAAACAAAATTATTGGCTCCCTGAAGTTTGAATTAAGGGGACACAAAGATCTTCAACTTTTTTTCTTTTTTTTTAAATTTTTTTGTGTATTGTGCTGAAATTTAGTATACTGATATATTTCTCAGTGGTGATTTCAAATATGCAATTAGTTTTCAGATAGTAGTTGATTAGATCCTGCGCTATCAATAAATTTGTAATTTTGATTAGGTCCTTCTTTTGGATCAATACCGTAAAATTCTTCAGAATATACCAGGAATTTGTATAGAACTGCATTCACCAAGACATGCTTTGTACAGTGATACTATTTTTGTTGCATTATATGTCACACAATAATTGTAATTAATTAGTCTCAAAGAAATATAGCCTCTCGTTTTGTACAACTTGGTTGCAAATGTTTTTTTTTACCAATGTAATATCATTAAATCAGGCTTAAATTAGCATCACGGCACAAAACATGTCTTGATGAATGCAATTCTATAAATATTTCTGATATATTCTGAAGATTTTTATGCTAATGATTCGTAAGAAGAACATAATTAAAATTACAAATGCATTGATAACTCAGGATCTAGTAAAGCTATCTGAAAACTAATTGCACATTTGAAATCACCACTGAGAAATGCATCAGTATACTAGATTTCAACACAATAAATGAAAATTAAAAAAAAAAAAAAGTTAAAGATTCTTGTTTCCCTTAATGAGAGTAGTGTTAAGATTGAACCATCCAATCATGTTAGAAATATATACTAATATATATTCTTCAGAACCCAATAGCCAGTCGTACGATGATGAGAATTGTTGCCCCTCCTGCCATTGTTCTTTACCCCTAGTACAGTCTAATCTCGTTATTTCAAACCCTCTTAATTTAAAGTGGAGGATAATTCAAACTAACATGCAGGTCCCATCCTCTGCGTCGCTATGGGAGAAAACTCCCGGTAATTCAAACTTTGCTTTATTCAAACAAATTTTCGGTCCCCCTAGAGTTTGAATTAACGAGAGTCGACTATAATAGAGTCATGAGAAAACAAATGTGTACTAGCTATTTTGAGGGTCGCACTTGGAAGCAGCTTGACGGCCTTTCGACGGCAAATGCTGAGCAAGTTAAGAAGTCGACGTGCCGCAGACTTTTAAAGGGACACTGATACACCCCAAAAATATTTATTTTTCTCATTTTTTTGCTAGGCAATTTAATATGGTGTCAGGAGGCTACCCAATAAATATTTTGGTGCAGAGTCACATAGATTTTTAATTACGCCAAAAAAATCAACTGCTTGAAACCGAAACATGGGAACGAGAGCTCATGGCCGAAAGTCACAAGGCTACACCAGACTGCATTTTTTTTTTCTCTGCTTCTCCGGCGTATATAGCAGACAATGACGACGACGAATTTGTGTGCACCGTTCGCTGTGCGATCGTTTCACACTTATATCCGTTCTGCTCAATGCTCTGTGCTTGAAGATCTATTGGCCGGAACCACAAATGACAGTTCCAAAGATGCGGCCATTTGTCCGCCGCAACAATGGTTCGACGTGCACTGCCATCGCATCGTCCAGCCCATGGTACATCGCCATAATGAGAATGATGTGTACACATACTTCCTGTAATCTGTGCAACATATTTTTTTTTTTTTTGCAATCAACGTATTTGCAGTTTTTTGGGGGCCACAAAAATAGGGTTCATATTCTTTTTAATGCGAAAGCATTAACTATCCCACGGAGCAGAGCCAGTGGCGTCTGGAACCGCAAAAGAAAGCGAAAGAAAGGTCCATTCACCCATTGGCTGAGCAAATCGGCTTCTAGATAGCCATTGGCGGCCGCTTCACAAAAGCGCACGTTCGGCGACCTCGGCAGTAGCGAAACGTGGCCGTCCAGGGGCCCTATATTGTACATTTTGGACTCCCACAGTGACTACAGAGAAGGAAGTGACGTCAACAACGCAGCAAATGCAGATTGGATGTTGACTGATCTCTCATCAATCAACATCCAATCTGCACTAGCTGCGTTGTTGACGTCACTTCCTTTTCCATAGTCGCCGTGGGAGTCCAAAACGTGCAACACAGGGCCCCTGGCCAGTACACCGCTGACTACCTAAGGGAGCGGAAGAACGGCATTAATGCTATCACATTCAAAACTCATACGAAGTGCTTAGACGCCCTCGAATTTTTTAAAATTTTAATCTTGAAGGTGTGCTTTAAGGCCCATGACTTGGAATATATTTGATTCGCATAGTTTGAACGCCCCGTGACCATAAAAAAGAAAGTGAGGGCAAATGAAAGCGGCCAATTTTCGACCGGATGTTTTCGGGTGGAAAGAAAAGCAATTTTGAGCCAACAATTGCGTTCTGGGTAGGTGGGCTCCTATAAGTCATGTTCAAATTAAGACCTCGGAAAGCATAATACCCCGTCAGTGTCCCTTTAACCTTTCTACGAAGTAATATTAACAGAAACATTCAATTTAAAAAGGCCCTGCGCGAGCCAGAATAAACGGTGCAGCAGGCTAACACTTTAACATGCCTGGCCTCTAAGATGCGCCGTCCCTCGATGTACAGCAGAGCGCTTCAAATCCCAGAAATAAGGGCATAAAACTTTGCACACTGATGCTTACACATGCTTTTTATGGTTATCCATGATCTTGATCTCAAGTTCCTTGTTCTGGTGGGGCACAAACTTGTACGTCGACAGGTAGCTGTGGTCCGGGTAGTCCTCCGGTACATAATCCCCGCAGGACGCTACGCACAGGACCAAAGATATAGCGGATTAGAAACCACAATGAAATGTCCCCAGCACTTAAACTGTGTCCACTTAAAGTGAAAACATTGCGCGATATTCAAAGAAAAGCTAGTAAAAAAAACTTTGAGTGCATTTACGCTACCGCGCAGCATGCGTCGCAGCGACAGCAGCTCGGCGCTCACGTGATTCGCTATCATTGTGGCATCAACATCGTTCTCAGAATTTTACGCCATTTTCACTCCTGCTCTTGACTCTGCTCCCTTGCTCGATCCATCTAGGACGAGCCTCCTTGGCGCATGCCGGCCTGCCAGATGACTGGTAATGTCGGAATATCCTGTGCACCGGCAAGAAGCCTGCCTCGGACGAGGACCACCCGTCGCGCTTGGCCACGTTGCCACACCGTGGGACGCCCAGTTAGATTGATTTCGCTACGACCCTTCTTGACAGAGCACGTACGGTGGAGGGAGCTCAGAAAACTGGTCATCGTTGCGCAAATTTCATCTTAAAAGCAGGCGGCCGTAGCACAGTTCAATACAGAATAAAGATGGGTCACAGAGGGAATGTTTTCGATTGTATCTTTTGTCCATTCAACATTAAGACTTTTGGACAATTCTGAGATTTTTGCTCGTCCCGTCATATCAGAATGAATGAGGTTTTACAGTAGGATTTAAAATAGCAGTACGCTGCTCTCTCAATTTGGAGATGGCTCTTGTGGTCAAAATTTTCCCCTTTTCATCTAGAAACCCAGAGACGTTATCAAATGACACAAACTTCCAAGCTGGCAAAAGAGTATAAGAAATTTTGTTTTGTAGTAGTGGAAACTTAATGCATAGCATTCACATCTGTAAATTGCTAGATTACCCCGCTCTTCAAATTCCTAAATAGCAAGGAGCTGTCTCCAAGGCCACCTTCGATCTTGTTAAAATGAAGTCACAGACTATGAGGACTTCCACTTGACTGCAATTCCAGGAACAACTTCTAAGTTTAACTTTGGGCACTACCTTGACAACAGATTGCCACTTACAGAATTAATGACGACTTGCATTAAGCAATGGTTTCATAGTGATAAGAAGTTTTGTGCGTACTGAAGTACGCTAAGATGCTATTACTATATGCTCAAAACTTAGAAGGCTTTTCAGCGACTTAAGGTCTCTCGCAGCACTAGGTGATACGAGTCTCCAAATAAAGATGGGCTTATATGCTTTTTCTCCAATCACCGACGTGATTTCTCACAAATAAACGTGCAGAACAAGAAGAATACACACCTTTGAAAACAATAAAAAAAAAAATGGATGCATGCTAGTGAGAAGTTTCTGGCATTCCAAGTAGGTAAGAAAAATGGGAGAAACATGGGGAGATGAACTCTTTGGTACCAGTTCCCGTCCAAAGCAGAAGACACGAGAAGAATTCAGCGTTGTGCGCACCAAGACAACCCAATTCATTCAGCTCCACATTAATGTAAAAGCTCCCAATACGCTCTGACCAACCATAATTCGGACAGGCATTGCGCTAGCAGGCCTCCACATATCTTGTGACAGTACATGGCAAGGGCCCTAGTTCGGTGGCAACACACAGCTTCTCACAGTGTCTAGTGGCAAAAACGAGGTGTCTCGTTGCGGGGCAGACCGATTTTGGGCACTAGAGCTACCCCTACAACCAACGTCTCTCTCCTTAAACCAATTGCAAGATACCTCGCGAACACATTCGACCGACTACTTGTCATTTGGGCTAACCCAATTACATTTGCCTTGCAGCCATTTGCAAAAGGGACTAAACACTGCCTTCTTTGCATAGAAACACAACCTCACTGGAACTTAAAGTTACAAACGTGCTAAATGCACGAATCGAAATGCTTTGCCAGCCCCTCAACCGGTATTGCAGCTGGGATGCCAAAAATTGTGCGAACGGTACTCTAAATGTTGGGTGAGCAAGACCTGCATCTATCTCAACGTAACCCTATTTCCGGTTCCAAACGACTGTGCCGACAGAGGGTGGCTGCCCAGATTGCGCTTAGCCAGAGTGACTTCTCCAGAAGAGTGGGCTACCCTGCACGATGTAGGAGGCCAGGAGAGCTGCCGTCGGGTCGCTGCACTGCAAGATTCCCAAGGAAAGGTCTCGCTTGATCTGCAGGCTGAACAGGTACCTGGGGGGAAGGGCATACCACCAAATGGGCTCTTCTCGTCGCACTTAACTAGAGCCTCACAATGTTTTTGTTTCTGCAACTGCTCACCACTTCGTCTTCCTTTAAGTAAGCACTTTACGAGTCACCCAGAGAACCTTGCACTTACTAAATTATTAAAAAGGAACTCGTTCAATTTTTACGGCATTCAATTATTCCAAAACTTACTTACCGTAATATACTGAACATTCACCCTTTACACAATAAGCGTGCCTGTATCTCAATTTTGTAACATTTGGAAAATACATAGAAAACATATACTGTATTTACTCGCATAATGAACGCACTCGCATAATGATTGCACCCTCCAGAACGTGTACCAATATCTCGACATTTGCTTTTTCCCTCCATAATGAACGCACCTCAAACTTTCGGCTCTGCGAGTCTCAAATTGCGTCCAATTTAGCTAGCCACCAAGCCAATTTTCTTTAGCCGCCAAGCAGTCAGGCCAAGCCAAGCCAAGCCAAGCCAAGCCGCTCTCGTAAGGGCTGCAAGTGCGTAGATGCGGAAGTGATCAACCGTGGAACCGAGCGGCGCCCACGCTTTACGAAGCTTGGGTCGAGAAATCGCCCTGCCCCATCATTCTTCGCCTATCGGATGCATTGATGTCAACAAACACGCCGTCGTCTGTGGTCCACTTTCGAGCACTGGAATCGTGATAGTGGCTAAACCTAAAAACAGTCGCGTTGCTCTTCGTGCTGAGTGAGCTTCAAAGTGCGCTTTTCTTATGGCAAAAGGCACGCCAAAAGCACCCTAAAAAGCTTTGGAATTTATAAAACGTGGTTACTGTGGCGTGCCCTTGACCAGCCGTGGGTGGGCCTCCATCAGTGGAGACGTGCCACAGTACCCTGCCATGTCATATTGGCACCTATATGACATTTGCACTAAGTGTATAAATGCAAAAATTTTAACCCGCATTATGAACACACCGTCCCCAAATATGTGTCAATTTTTCGGGAAAAAAAGTGTTCATTATGTGAGTAAATACGGTATTTACGTATTGTTGATATATATATATATTGATAGAGGACATAAATATACCTCCCACAGCTTTACGTGATTATCTCCCTATTTTATGGTGGGTTAATTCATAGACATTCTTAATCTAGAATCTGAAATGGTTTCAGGATAAAAGTAATCACCTTACAGAGTAATCCAAACAGAGTTGGATTACGTAGGGCACTGGGGTCCTCTACTCCTGACCGTGGCCCATTTATGTAAAAATCCCTCAAATAAACGAGTATGCTCGAATGGAAAACTTGAGCTTGTCGTCAGTGTCTGGGAACCTCGAAAAGCGCCTTCCGTCGAGACTCCCCGCACTCCACGGCAAACCCAGGGGGTCCCCCCGCTGGGGCTCCGTGCGGTCTCACCTTGTGAACTCCTCCTCGAGCTGCGCGGGGTCGGGCGTGTAGAACTTGACGCAGAAGTCCATGACGGGGGCGACCATGGACAGCCCCATCTGGCGGCACATGGGCTTCTCGTAGTCCAGCCAGTACTGCGAGAGGAGGGCACGCCAGGCTCTCGTTTCTTCCCTCGTCACTCGCGCCAAAAAGGTATACTCCACAGTGCATAGAGCCAATTGATGCCAAATCTGTCGCATGTTTGCGGCAACCCGTAACACGTGACACTGAGACATCATTTGTGCCGTGACATTGCAGTGTCATGCCGTGGTGTCACGGGACATTATGCCACACGAGTCTCACATGTCATTGTGAGCAACGCCACTTGACGTTAGGGCGTCACGTGACCTAGATTTGGTGAAAAAAAACTTGCTTGACTTAAAGATATGCATAAACTATTTCGATTCAAGTTTTTCCTGCTGAATTTATCGGGAAAGTGACCCGCTAAATTTAGGTCATATGATTTTTTTTCCGACAATGGATGAAGAGCGTGTTGGTGCAGGTCAAGATTGAAAAAAGAATAAACATGTAGGAGAAAGACGACACAGCCACATCTTTCAACTAGCAACGGACATATAGGAATTCCAAAGGTGAGTAATTGATTAAGGGCGGGAAAATCGAGGAAAGGGAAAGTAACTAAGAAGATGAGGAAGGAGGAGAGAGACCATGAGATGCAAAGTCAGGTTGATGGAGTCATCTCTGATATGAAAAATTGAACTTCAGTCTCGGTCAGGAACACTGCAGGATTAGAAACGGGGCCTTCAGCCTGTGCAAGTCCCATTTTGAAGAGACAAGAAGGGGGGCTATGCAAGACGGCAAGACGAAGGAACCGGCACATAACCGCCTGCTGCGATTGGTCAACGCCACGCCACGGACCAATCCCAGCCGGTGACAATGTCCTGGTCCCTTCATCCTGCCGTCTTGCATAGCCCGCAAGGGGGCATAACAGCATATAGGGCCAGGAGATTGGGTCATTGGCCATGAATGGCACAAACAACAACATTTCTAATCCCTCACTGTTTCTGATGAAGACTGAAGCTGAATTTCTCAAATCAGGAATGACTCTGTCCACTTCACTTTCTATCTTATCATCTTTTTCTTCCTTCCTCTCTTCTTAGTTACTTTCTCTTTCCTCGATTTTCCCGCCTTCAATGAGTTGCTCGGCTTTCGAATTCCTATATATGTCCATTGCTAGTTGACAGATGTGCTTGTGTTGTCTTTGTCCTAAATGTTCATTCTTTCTTCAACCTTGATTTTTATATGTTATTGTGTTTTTATAACAATTTCTTGTCATGATCTCTAGATATGGAAACCAGCCCATAAAGGCATTCTGTTTCAGAACTATTAGTGAGGTTCAATGTTTGCGTGTTCTACAGACGTAGTTGTAATGCGTCGTGCTAAGTATTAAACTGCACAAGCAAAATGTGAGCAAAAAGAAACCCATCCCTCACATTTGGGCTAACCGTATCCTGAGCCACGCAAGAAACCGGTTAACATTGGTGGTCTATCCAATAAATTTAGCTTTAGGAAAATTTTTAAAACAGAACAAAACCTTGTTTTAGGGCACTTCTGTAAGACAATATTTCCCATTTTGCAGAAGCTCTGGAGCAGCACTAAGATAATTTTGTAGCAGTTAGGAGAAGGTATTAGTAGTACCAATGCGCAGATGCCCAATCAATAATGCATGACACTCATTAACACCCCACATTAGACAACATTCTGCACTGTCTAAATAGCACCTCTACAGCTAGAATAAAAAGGTCACAATAAATTTCACACAGCTATTATCACGTAGGCTTTCAATATATGGAACTATTAGAGTCCAATTGTTTTTTTGGTTGTTACCATGCATCCTAATGGCCTAAAGTTAGCAGGCTTCATGTAAGCCTGACATTATGAATGAGAAATCAGCTGCCTGTAGCACCATTTTAGAGCTCAATTTGCACTATTCACTGATTTTATGCGAGACACAAAATTTTGTATTTTATTGAGATAAGATAACGTGCTTTGCACCAACCATTTTATGCATGCAGGTGGCAACCTCCTTATACCTTTTGGCCAGAAAAATATTGTGTCAAGTTAATCAATCTTGAAAAGCATGTGAGCTAGATTAAAAACAAGAGAAAAGAAAATGCACAGAAAGTCAGTAATTCTGGCTGTCATAGGATTTTCAGGCTCACAAGGAAGAAAAAGGTTACCTGCCAGTACAAGCATTTATTTCCTTTACCCACGACACCCCCTCCCCTACTGCCCTCACCTCTGAGCTAAGGCAATGTTAGTGTGATGTGCGAAATTTAAAGCAGCTGCGATAAATTAGTGACGGCCCCTCGACTACGATCGATTTACTCCAGGCACCCGAGAATCCAAAAGTACTACATAGTGATTTAGTAAACATACATTTTCAAGCTTTATCAACAAAATAATACTGGGTTCCTTAATGCAGAGACATTTTGATGACAAGTAAGACAATGAAATGTTCACAGCGTTTAGCAAAATAACGGAAACTCAATGAGACGTAACAAAGCAATCCAGCACCAAAAGTGTAAAGGAAATGAGAACCATTTGCTGTCCCCACATTTCTTCCAAACGGCATCTTATTATGCACATGCAAAATGAATGGATGACTGGTGTTTGTTCCTGTTTAGTGACGCCATCAAACACTTAGAGGGCACAACAAAAGGTGTGTGAACTGTTGTTAGGGCAGAATTTACAGACGACAACCCAGATTGCTGTTGGGTTACCGCTTTGCCCGCTAAAAGCAGATATTGACCGGTTTGCCAATCCAGAGTGCCGATTCCTCTATAAAATTGTCTGTTTATACAAACTAATGAGCTTTCTTTACGAGAGTGTAGCACAATTTCGGCCAACTTGTCCTTTTGAGTGCAGCAAGGTCAAGTCAAATACAAATTTATTGAAATGTTGCACATAATTAAAAATGTTGCAATTGTGTTGCACATGAAATGTTGCAATTGGCACAAGTGAACCACTGCACATACTTGCAAAAGGAATACCTGTATTTTGTGATTGAGACACCCATTCAAAATGTGACTTTCTTGCAGGCTATGCGTATGACTTTTACAATGTTAAAAGTTTTTAAAACTTCAATTTAGGAAGTTTTTTAAATTATTTCGGTAATGAGATGTGGCATAGCAATTCTAATCATCTTCAAGCTTTAGAACAGAGTGAACCAAAAAAACCAGAATGTAGTTGAAGAAAATACAGTTAAGTACAACCTCTCCTGCACTTATATAACCTTAACATTACTAACGCCAAAAACTTGGGAAGTGCCATAAATCAAATAAAGCTGCAGATAAAACCATGTTTCACTCCATTAATCCGCATAATCTTTTATTATTTCTGCCTGAAATGCATTTTTGGGATATACTAGATGCATGGGCACTACTGGGATCTCCAAGAAAGCTCTAATCTCAGAAACATTGCAGTAGAGACACTAGAACGAGCAAGTACCGTGATTGTGAATGGAAGAGTGTGCCAGGTGCTCTGTACAATCAATGCCATCTAACATAATCCCCAGAAAGTTCTCTACGACGCTAATCACATAACTACTGCTTCCTCCATCTGTCAATCACAGCATGCGCTTTGTGGGACATCGGTCAGATGGCAACGAGTAGGAACAATGGCTAGGTTGTGCAAGCCACCCCCCCATTCAGAGGGTTTGGCCATATTCAAGGTTACTAGATTAACTCAGCTATGAACCTACCCATAGACGCCGCTTGCACGAGCAGTACTCCCCCTCTCCCCCCAAGGCCTGCCTTTCGTCGTTTGATGCACCACCGTTTCCTGGCAAGACGGCTGCTACAGTAACTACTACGGTTGCGCGGATTTCGATGCACAGCATCTAGATGGCGCTTCACCATAGCGTCTCCAAAGAAAAGTTTTGGAACCCAGCCTCTAGATGGCGCACCAAACGACAGGCGACGGGTTCGAGGGGAGACGGGGTGGCCCCCTCCGCCCGAGTTGCTCAACTGAGTCAACCTAAAAACGCCGGCCATATTCATCTGTCCAGCGGTCCCACCGGCCATTCACCTCCACAGTGGCCTCAATTTGAGCATACCTGTCATGTTACCGATAGGCGAGCTTTCTTCCATCCATTTCTAGGAGCAAGCATTTAGAAAGTGTGAGACAATGACGAGAGAAAAGTGACCTTTGTGCCGGTGGAATCTGCATACTCCAGTCCAAAATAGTCCACTTCCAGGAGGTTGATCACTCTGCAGACCTGCTCGAAGAGCACCCTCCCGACAGCCTTGTACTGTAAAAGAGGGAGGAACAGTCTTTTACTACCAAGACGGGTCCCGGCAACACTTGGCCACTCGAAGCACCCTCAGGAATCACCACAGTCGACTTTTGCTTTCGCTGCACGGGGGCTCGTGCAGCCAAGGCAAATGCAAGGAGTTCTGTTATGAGGTATACTGTGGTGCCAAGTTACACAGAACTAACACGTAAACTATAAGACAATATGGTAGACAGAAAGGAACACAACATACATGTGTAAGGGTAGACATACAATTCTTTATTTTCCGTTCCTTCATCTTCCTTCTCTATACCTTTTTAAAGATGAAGATTTGCCTGATAATTCTTAGAATTAAAGACTGGATAATTAATCTCATTGCAGGCAATTGTAGACACCGGTGTTTTTCAGATAACAAAGAAATTCCAGTGTTTTGGAAGACAAACATGCACCTGAAAAGTTGTGGAAATAACTGGGATGATGAATGTCTTTCCTGGCATTTGTAGACATTTGATCTCTATGGTGTGTGTGTCTATGGTGCCGGTGCCCTGAAGTCAATGTTTGCCGTGTTGGGCTGTGGGACCTTTTAAGTAATTCTATTCTTATTTGGTTCAAAGCTATTGAGGGTTCAATTACGCTTGTTCCGTGCCTTCCTGAAGCCATGTGAAAAGCCTCCATGATTTTGCGCTTGGTCCTGTCTCATGATCTATCTAATGGTGAATTCGGGTGGTTGCCTCTCTCCTCTGACCTTACTCAGCAGAGCACCCCCTCCTTGCCGCCAGAGCCATTCGGGATCTTTTTCAGCCGATCACAACTGCTGGGTGCAGAGCACTCTGACATTCTCAGACAAGTCACGGAAGTAAAACTTTTTAACATTGGTAGCGCATTAAAAAAAAAGGAAAAGATTTTACAGCGTACGGTGGGCGATTGAGCAATATTTGCGCTCGCAACGTGATGAAATGACGGTTGTGACATAAATTGTTTTACGCATGAAGATGTAAAAAAAAACAAAAAACAGCAGTGTGCTAATTCATTTTTGCAGAACGGAACGAAAGTCAATGCTTGGAAAGAGTTGTCGACTCATCGCGTTTTAAACAGTGAACGTGCTGCGATAGCGGTCATGTGTACGGCAGAGCAGGCAAATATAAAATGGTTAATAAACCACATTTTTCTCACAGCAAAATGTTGTGCAAGCAGGATATAGCACATATCACTATAGAACACAAATCACAGAGCATTATATTCGGCTCTCCCTTTATTTTACGACACAAACCTCTGAACACACTTTTACCAAACCTGAATATTCCTTGAAGTGACCACAAAACCTGGTAAAAAAGCGGCAAGCTCTGAGAGCTGTTTCTTCGTCGGTTAGGCTTAGCGGATTCACCGCCATGAGATGAACGATCTCGTGAAAGCACTGGGAATACTTCACACGTCGACTTTTCCTGTTACGGTCACAAACGAATGTCGTCCCGTCCATTGTAATCCTCGCACCGTCGAATGCACAAGCACTTTGTGGAACCTCATATCAATTGCTGCCATGCCGGACCCCGCACACCACCACAGACCACTCCGTCCAAGTGCCACGTGACTCCTGTGCCGCTCTGCACTCCGACGGCTACAGACGGAGTGCTAGGGGGCGCTCTGAGAGGGAAAGGCGCCCTTGGAAAGAACCAGCCGATCAGGCCACAGCACTCTTTTTCCACCACCCGATCCCGCGCGCTCTAGAAAGAGCGCTCGAGAGCGCGCAGAAAGAACCACGCTAATTCGCTATTAGATGGTGGTAGTTCTAAGTAGAGGACTTTGCAGCTGCAAACTGCACAGTGTGCAGCAAGGTGCTTGCAGCTGCAAGCATGCACATTTGTGCTCTCTTAGTCTCTCGTTTATGAATCTTCCCATCTGTCCAATGTATGATTTTCCCCACGTCAGTGGTATTTTATATGCCACTCCTTTAATATATTCAACAAACTTGGATTTGTGCTTTACCTTACACAATGTTTTATCATTTGTGTTATTTTCCAGTTGGTTCATCTTTTTGCACAATCCTTGCCTTTCGAGTGATAGTAGAAGACAAAGAAACCTGACAGCCATGTGACTGCAAAAAAACTACAAAAACACGTCACTTCTCCAAATGAAAAATCCCTTCTTGGTACGCAACTCGGATGAGGTGATAGAATTTTTAAAGGAACGAAACCCATCACCACCTTTTCAGTGGCCATGGAAGACACGTATTACAACATCCCACAGGAAGGAGCACTAGAGGCAGTAAATGCATACGGCACTGCAAAATTTTAAAGCCAGAGTGGGATCACCACGAGGGATTTCGTAAGTCCCATACAAGAGCTCCG